GGGATAGGAGGGTTGGTTGCCTTTAAGCTTTTGTGCGAATGTAATGCATAATTAATTGCTGGGGATACAAGACATTGTGATCTAGTAATTAAGAGTAGGCGAGACATTAGGTTTAAGGTAAATTCGAAAGTGGCATTAACATTAATGAAGAAGATGAATTCATAAATAGATCAGAGTGGATAGGATAAGTCGAAAACCTTAACAACATAATCATTCCATATTTTATAGATCAATCACCCTTGCATTCTTCAAGTCAATTGATCAACACTTGCATTCATATTTATTTTCTGCATTATAAACACCATGATTTTGTTTACAAGTCTTAATTAATCAAGAAACCACATGAATGTCTAGGTAGTGAGTCTCTTGGGAAACGATACTTGATCTTACCATTTTTTATTACTTGATATGATTCGGTACACTTGCCGGAGTCTTAAAATCTGAAAAATAGTAAACGAAGAAGGCAGAAAAAGTTTTCAAGACAACTTTTTCCCTCTCTTGAGACTCTTCAATAGCCTTTCACATCAGTATCTGACCAGGAAATAGAAGAGATGACAGACAATCAGAATGGTAGACGTACCTTGGCAAATTATGCAGCAGTCACTAGACCTCTTCATTTTAATAGTATTGTTAGACCAAGGGTAAATGCAACAAACATGGAGATGAAGTATGCTCTCATTCAACTGGTGAAGATCAATCAATTCAATGGATTTGCTCATGAAAATCCATATGAACATCTGACCACGTTCAATGAAATATGAAATACAATGAAGATTAATAGTGTGCCAAATGAGGCTATTAGACTTAGCTTGTTCCCTTTCTCTTTAGGAGGCAATGCTAAAATGTGGCTTAATTCATTCCCAGAGAATAGCTTCATTGAGTGGGAAGATGTGGTGGCAAAAATTATGAATAAATATTTTCCTGAGTCTAAGTTAAATAAAGGTAAACAGTAAATTTCTTCTTTTAGACAGGGCATGGAGAAAACTCTAGGTCAAACATTGGATAGATTCAAAGGTCTATTGGGGAAGACACCCACACATGGCTTTGATGAAACCACGGTGGTCATTCTTTTCCTTAGAGGACTGAGTTCACAGGCTAAATTGATGATGGATGCCTTAGTTGGAGGTAATATCAAGTGTAAGACTCCAGAGGAAGCTTATGAGTTGATTGAAAAAATGGCGCCAATGATAATGAGATGCATGATGAAAGGGCTCAATTTCAAACTAAAGGAGTTCTACAATTACAATCTCAAGATGCTTTGTTGGCTCAGAACAAAATAATGACTCAATAATTGGAGACTCTGATGAAGAAAATCTCTCAATTGCCTCAAGAATTGCAGAATGTTTCTTAAGCTCAACATCAACTTTGGAAGCAATGTGGTGGAGATCATATTAATGGACAATGTGCCATGCAAGCTATTACCCAAGAAGAAATCAATTTTATGGGTAATCAAGGTCGCCCAGGTAACTACAACCAAGGGTGGAAACCTCACCCAAGCATGGGTCGAGGGCAAGCTGGACAATTCAATAGACATCCACAACAACAATGGTACCCACAACCATCCTTATCTGATACGACTGCAAAACTAGAGGAGACACTCCAACAATTCATGTAAGTGTCTATCTCCAATCATAAAAGCATTGAAGTTGCCAATAGAAATTTGGAGATACAGGTTGGCCAATTGGCAAAGAAGTTGGAGGAAAAGTCTAAGAATAATTTTGGGGCAAATACTGGAGTTAACCCTAAGGAAGAATGTAACGCCATCATGAGTATAAGTGGTGAGATGTTAGTTGAGAGAAAAGAGAAGGAAGTTGGTGAGAAAGAAAAGATGAGTAGAGAAAAAGAGGAATTGAGCGAAAAAAAGGAGAAAAATGAAGAGCGAAAAGAAGAGGCTGAGAAAAAGATAAGAGATGATAATGATGAGGGGGTGGAAAAGGAAAAAGAAGAAGGAGAAGACGAGAGAAAAAAGGGAAAAATAATTGAGAAGCCCCTTCCTTACCCAAAAGGTTATTCAAAGAAGGATAAAGAGAAGCAATTTGGGTGTTTCATGGATACCTTCAAGCAATTGGAGATTACTATACCTTTGACCAAATCACTGCAACAAATTCCTGCTTATGCAAAACACTTGAAGCAGTTCCTTAGTAAAAAGAAGAGGTATTTTGATAAGGGAACAATTGAAGTGCAGGGTAATTGCAGTGCCATATTGCAGAAGACGCTTCCTCCCAAATTCAAAGATTCGGGGAGTTTCACCATCCCTTGCACCATTGGGAATCATGATATAGGGAAGGCTCTAGTTGACATAGGGGCTAGCATCAATCTGATGCCCCTATCTATGGTAGAGAATATGGGTGGTCTTGAGGTCAAACCTACAAGAATGATCTTGCAAATGGCAGACAGGTCCATTAAGCATCCTTATGGTGTAGTGGAAGATGTTGTGATACAGATTGACAAACTCAAATTCCAGTGGATTTTGTAGTAATGGATATGAGGGAAGAAATAGAGATCCCTCTCATTCTTGGAAGACCATTCATGAAGACAGCCAAGGTTGTAATTCATGTAGATGATGGAGTTTAAACATTAAAAGATCAAGATGAAGAGGTGACTTTTAATGTCTTCAATGATGTGCATCCAATTCAAGTAAAAAAGACTAGTCCTAAAACAACAGATGAAGTTCTATCAGTGACTAGTCTACCTGATCAAGCTGCCGATTTGGTCAAGAGGAGCCATAATTGTTTTTCCCCAAAAGTAAAGGAGGAGGATGGAGATAATGAAGAGAAACAAGTGCACCAAGACTCGGTGCTGGAAAATAATGAACCTAAACCTGGCCAACCAATGAAATTCAAGAACAAGTTATGGGTTATCAAGGATATTAAAGCAAAGGGAGTTTTTGAGATTGAGACTCCCTATCCTACGAGAGTAAAGTTGGTGACTAGGAATCTGCTGAGATTTTGTTGGTGTCATGAAAGAAAGAAGAACGCCAACATCAAAAATTCAAACTGAGCTTAGTGGTGTAAAGCTAATGACGTTAAAC